AGGTATTTATTCGTGGGTCTCCTAGGCTTTGGATGGGACCCGGTGCTGCTATCAGGGGGGCAGCGGTGGCAGCAGCAGGGCTCAGCCTTACACACCTATGTGAAACCAGAGCAGTGACCACTGTGTGGTGACACAGGAGAGGATTGTGCACTCCTCAGACAGGTGGCAGGCTCTTGAGGAAAAGGCACTGCCACCAACTTGTCAGTGTAGGAACTCAGGTGATCCTAGCCAAAGAAGCCCAGATGACTTAGACCTTTAGGGTATGGAGAAAAGAGAAACAGCCAAGAACCCAGAACTTGGCTATGAAGACCTCATATACTTGGGTCTTCTCAGTGATGGAGGGTCCTACTGCAGTTCTCCAGCAGCGGTCACTGAGTACCAGCGTCACAGGAGCACCAGGATGCGCTGCTCTGTAACACGGAGGACGAGGGCTGAACGGTCCTGACTGGAGTGGTCAGTGGCTCCAAGCTGCAGGCATCTGACTGCGGGGCACAGCTTTGCCACCTGTCAGAATCCACTCCCAGCCTAGAGGCCTGGCCTTACCTCTGGCAAAGGGTAACTTCCGCTGTGCCTGAGTCTCTGAGGTCTGGCATTTGAAGGTGATGGAGAAGGTGCACCTCACGGCCTGGCCCTGGATAGTCATGGTTCACCGTGTAGGATGAACACCAGCTCTAGAAACACAACTTACCACCTAAAGATGAGTTGTAGGAACCAAAATTATTCAGTGTACAGCCAGTAGACTGGACTCAGAGACTAGGCACAGGGTCTGCACTTTATCAAGGGGCCGCTGGGGCATGTCTGTCAGGGGCTGAGTGATAAGGGGGCTCTCACTGCTGCGTGAGGACACTCTTTGGCCTTTGTTCATGTTGCTCGTCCTTCCCTGGAGTGTGGGTTGTCTGAAGCCTCCTCTTGTCCACTGGTTCTCTGGATCACTAATGTCTGCTCTTGGGGTGCCACTGCGCAGAGTCCTGATACAGCTTTCCTATGTGGGTGGTCACAGTGGAGCCATGACCCTGAGAACAGATGTGGGTTTTAGGTTGTCAGTGCTCTGACACAGGGTCTCATCTCACTGAATGTGGCCACCCGATGGGCTGGATGTCTGCGGTGGGCCTGCTCCATCCTGCCGTAACTCTGCTGTCTGTCCAAAGCCCAGTCCCACCTTCTCTAGCCCCCGCTGCCCGCCTGTTGCCTGGACTCTCAACGTGGTTTACTTCAGATGTGAGCACAAAGCTTGCCCCTGGAATGCACAATTTCCTTCAAAAGAAGCAATTTCTCTACGTCCATGGAACAGATGCACTTCTCTGTACATGCTCTATGTGTGCCAGGGGACAATATGTGACATGGGCAAGCTTACCAGAGAACATCGAGAGGCATCTCATGGGAGGTGCATTTAAAGCAGTTTCTATGCTGCAGAATTTGTAAGATCTTTTATTATCTCACAGGGCCTAAGAGGGAAGCTATGATACCCTCCCAGATTTATATGCAAATAGATCTTTTTCTGGCAGTATAGTACAGTAATTACCCGGGTAGCTGCAACTATATCCCCAAATGAGAAAACAGGCAAGCAGGGTGATACTGTTTCCTCTGAAGGAGAGAGCAAGGCGGTCTCCCCTCGGGAGGTCCGGGTCTGGGGCAGGCCACTTCAGCCTGCTCATGTGCTCAGTTTCACCTGGAATGTTTTAACTGGTTGCTAACATTTAAAATTCACATAAAAATTTAATCTGTAACTCCTTCTTCTCTTCAAAAACTGCCCTACACGGGATCTGTAACCCATATGACTGCTAGATGGAGGGAGCAGCAGGAGCTTCTGCCACCCCTGAGGCTCTCACCTGTGTCTGCCTTCATCCTCACCTGGTTCCCACCTGGCCCCTGAGCACCCAGGTATGCAACCTCTCCTTTGCACAGGCACTGATTTTAAGTAAACCTGAAATTTATTAAAAATTATGTATTTGGAAATAAATATGTAATATGCCTTGCTGAAATTTGAGTGTGCCTAATTTGCCAGTTAATTCTTGTTAAACAAAAAACAAAAAGGCCCCAAACTATATTAATTCCATGAAAAAGAAAAAAAAATAACTGCAGTCACTGATATAGGGTCTTTTCCTCTGCCAGAAGCTCTGGTGCTTTTTATTCCTTCTGTATTCCTTTTTGTCTAATAAATCCTATTTTACCACTCATCTGTGGTCTGTGGGTTTAATCTTCAAATCCCCAAGACCAAGGACCTAGTGAAGAAAGAAACTCTGGTAACATCACTACATGAAAGGGTAGAGTTGATCTCAACTCTTTGGCAAGTAACTTAGAAGACATGCAGGGCTGAGGGGCTCAGAGGTCATCTTCACCCTTCACGCACCGTGCCGATCCTCTAAGCTGAGGATCTGCAGTTCTGACAGTGGATACTACTTAGCTCTGCGATGTGCCCAGCATCCTGCCATGCCAGGCATTTTGTAGACAAATGACAACTTCCTACCTCACTACTCTCAAATTCAGGGGCACCCCAGAGAGGAGGGCAGAAAAACATGCCCTGTTCCCTGTTTGGATAAAGCATCAGGTTCCAAGACTCAGTGGCCACAGTCAACATTAACTCCCATATTTGGATAGAAATCACCGATACTGTACATCAAGGGTCAGCCCAGCAGAGTAAACTCTGAGTCTCATGTGCCGGATCCCAAGGGGCGTGGCACTAAACGTGTCTCATTAGTTTCAGATGCTGAGCTCAAACATAAACAACTCCTCTGCAAACTAGCAGAGCAGGCCTGGAGATTTCAGTAGAAAGCAATTTTTTCTTTATGTTAAATGGTAACAGGGAAATGCCCTAATATTTCTCTGCTCTTACAGATGCAAACAATATAGCCCATCCCCAGTTAAATGTATAATGCGTGGAGTGGAGATAGAAAGAAACCACTCAGTGCCTTCTATTTAATAATTTCTTTTCTGCTGAAATATAAACTTGGCCTTGGTGTTGTCCTTTGAATTAAAGAGCTATACTTTAAAATTGGGGAGTGCATATAATAAAGTGGGAAAGTGTTTATGTAAACTGCTAGATACAAAGAAAACTATATAAAATATTAGTGACAATACCAATGCGTTAACCAGATAAAGAGCTAGGGATGCATATAGAGTTAGAACAAAACATGAAAAAATTAAAAGCATTCATTTTAGTAATGGACCTATGAACTATTTGTCACTTTACCTTATTTCTATTATAGTTCATATAATGTTATTTGATTAGTTTTTAAAATTATCTAAAAGGTACAAATATGGTCAGGCATGGTGGCTCATCCCTGAAATCTTAGCACAGCACTATGGGAGGCTGAGGCAAATGGATTGTTTGAGCTCAGGAGTTTTGAGATCAGCCTAAGCAAGGGCAAGATCCCCGTCTCTAAAAAAATAGCTGGGTGTCATGATGAGCACCTGTAGTCCCAGCTAGTTGGGAGGCTGAGGCAGGAGGATCACTTCAGCCCAAGAATTTGAGGATGCTATGACCTATGATGCCACAGCACTCTATCCAGGGTGACAGAGTGAGACTCTGTCTCAAAAAAGAAAAAAAGAAAAGAAAAGGTCCGAATAATGAACAGGCTAACATGAATTAACTTGTCCTTCTATAAAAAGTATAAAAGGAATCACAACAGTGTGGGGTTAGACATATAAACCAGTGTTGTGGGAAAAGTGTTAAAACAGACAAATGCATACACAGAAACTTGATACACAACCCAAGTGGAGGTAGGAGTCAGTGGGAAAAAATAGTTCTTTTTTCATACAACATTTGAAAATAAACCCCAAGTAAGGGAGAGTCCAAACGTGAGAAAATAACACTAAAAGTTTTACAGGAAATTCAGGCTATCTTTAATCCTTTAGGGTAAGGGAATAATTTCTCTCTCTTTTTTTTTTTTTTTGAGACAGAGTCTCACTATGTCACCCTGGGTACAGTGCTGTAGCGTCATAGCTCATGCAACCTCTAACTCTTGGGCTTAAGTGATTCTCTTGCCTCAGGCTCCCAAGTAGCTGGGACTACAGGCAGCTGCCACAATGCCCAGCTATTTTTTTTGTTGTTGTTGTCATTGTTGTTTAGCAAGCCTGGGCCAGATTCGACCCCGCCAGCCCCGGTAAATGTGGCCAAAGCCCTAACCACTCAGCTATGGGGCACAGAGCCAAGGAAGGATCTCTTAAATATGCATCACACACATTTAGGAGAAAAAGGAAAAATTAAAGGATGTTAAATTAAAAGACAATCAATGTGCAATAATAGCAAACAAAATTGACTTCAAGCCACAGACTCAGAGACTCTCCATGTGCAAATGATGCAAAGGCTGTGAAAATACAGCTCATAAAGAGAAGACCACAACTGCCAATCAGCAGAGGGCAAGATGCTAGCCCTCCTAACCAGGATTGGAAACTGAAGCTCCATGAGATGCCCTCTGACGCCTGAAGGACTGGCAGAGCTAGCACGTCACTAATCTTCAACCCAGGTGTCTGTGGCCTGATGGGACGTGGCTGCAGGCACCAGCCAGAGGGCCCGTCAAATGGACAAGCGTTTGTGAGCAATTTGTCAATATTCCACAAAGTGGAAAATGAATCTTTCTGATGTCTAATAATCTCTCTTCTAGAAAGCTCTCTACATGTAAATAGTGACATATATAACACTCATTGTTTCTAAGTCCTGAAAAACTGGAATGCCCTAAATGTCCGTTGAGAGGAAAATGGACAGATATGTGGATGAACAATGCAGGAGTCATGGTGGATAAATCTTAAAAAGAATGTTGAGCAGAAAACTACACTCGGAGCATGGCACCACTGACATGAAGTGTCAAGACAAGTAAGGCACATGATACAGCTTACAAGAACCTGCCCCCGACAAGCAGCACAAAGACACACTGTGGACTGATTACAAACCCCACATCAGAGTGTGGAGACTTCTATGGAGGACCCCAGCACACAGGGGACCCTTGGGGACAGGGATGTGGCTGCAAGCGGCTGCCCTTACCGCCAGTCCCACAACTCACCTCAGATGCAGGTCCTCACAGCCGTTCCTCTCCCAGGAGGGGCTCTTGTGGGGACCCAGTTCCGGGGTACCAGTAAGGTCCTGGTCACTGCAGTCCTCCTGGTCTGTGGCCCACTTGTCTTTGGATTTCACGCTGTCATGTTGAGAATCCAGAGAGACAATATCGGAGGGGGAGCTCATCACTCCAGAGTCCTCGGTCGTGTCTTCTGACGCGAAGCAGCTGCTGACAGACACCGTCTCCTCGGCCTCAGACGGCACCTGTGGGGCTCCGTCCGGGCTGCTGTGGCTGCTGGGTCCCAGGGGCAGGCTCACTGGACAAAACATGGCAGGGACAGGTCAGCACAAGTCACTTGGCTTCCACACTGCTTAACAAGTGCAGCATCAATGTGCCTGACTCTAAAATTGGGGATTCAGGGTGTTAAAAATGAGGAAAGATCCTCATTCAAACACAACTGCTTCTTCCCAAAACCTGTTAACTCAGAAGGGGCCATATGTGTATGTACGATTGAGAGCAAATTTTTCACTCCCTCATTAGTATTTGCTTAATTAGCCTTATTAAATTTGTATCCTCTTTAAGACTACGGGCATTTAAAAATTCAGAGTAATGATAAATGCAATTGTTTCCAGTCTGGCTTTCAGTGTAACTGAACTTGTTTTAGAAAACATTAAGAACAGAGTTTTTGGACACATAAACCAACTTATAAATAAAGAACACTGGTTTGGAAACCTCTGACAAATGCTCCAGTTACATTTGAAACTGGACTCTCTCCTCTTCCTGCTTCTGGCTTCCCCTCAACTTTCCTCCAAGAGACAGGTGTCCATGGTGGGGGCTCCCTGGCTCCAGAGCACTCAGTGTGACCTGCCACGGAACATGCAGCCCTCTCGCACAGTGGCCTGGGCACCGGGAACACACTGAGTACAAGTGTGAAGTCACAGTGTATTTTCTTACTGGCTTTCTAGGTTCTCTAAAGACACACAGAAAGCTCTATGCAAGAGCTGGAGTATGAAAGACAAAAGTATACAACTCTAGGACAAATGGACACCAGAGTTGTTGTTTTTTAATGTAGAAATTGATTTTAAACTTCAAGACAGTTGGAGACATATGCCTAAGAGCTGTTTATGACAGTGTAGGACTGAGGACTGTGTTTTGTTGCCGTCCCAGTTTATTTTGTCTTAAAATCACTCTTCTGCTGAGTTGTTACTGGATGCCTAGAGCAGACGAAGGTCTGGACGCCTCTGGGTGCACACTCTATGTAACCACACACTGACTGTGAAGTGACACCGCAACTGTACTCAGCAAAACCAGAATTTTAACCGGACAGCAGACTAACAACATACAATTAAAAAAAACAAAAGAAAATCCCTTCTTTCTTTTGTTTTGGTTTGAGATCCCGAACAATAAAACAAACAAAAGAGCAAAAGAACACACATTTCACAAAAGAGCTCAAAAGTAAAGAACAGAAGGAAAAGGAGGAATTGTTCAGAGAAGCACAGATGCACAGGTGGCACGCTGAATGCAGTGAGTGCTGGTCAGCAGTAGCCGCCGCCAGTTCTCCCAGCTTTTGCTGCAAGACTCTTAAAGGACAAATAGGGAGAAGAAACACCGCCCAATGCTTCATATAGCCCAAAGCTCTTTCTGCGAGGGTTTGCTGATAAGCTGTCCCACCGGGAATGGCTGCCCACTGTCCCCTGCCGCAGTCTGCACTTCAGCCCCATGATGGCAAACCGTGGCCACACCTACCTCAGACAGCTGCTTGCAGCACAGAGGACTCATTGCTGCAGCCACAGGGCACTCCCTGTTCCTGCCATTCCTCTCTCCCTTTCCCTTTTGCCACCATCACTGAACAATAAAACCAACACTTTTTTTAGTCTGTGTTGTAAATAAACAGCTTAATGCAGTGAAAAACTGCATGCAACTTCCAGGTCACAGAGACCTGGATCCCAATCCTGGTGCAGTGCTGTGTCTTGGCAGGTGCACGAACGACGCTGTCTTCAGAATTTTGACCAGGGAGGGTGGAATGTCACTATCAGGTCTCTTCTCCTCTCTTTAGGAGGATTCCCGGGGGAATCCAACCCTGCCCGAATGGAAAGAGCCCCAAGACTGGACCTGGGGACACAGACTTCACTCCAAGTCTCTGGCGATTCATTTTTTGCAGGGACAGACATGTACACCAAGAAGGACAATGCCTGACAGTCCTCCAAGTCTTCGTGCCCTTCCAGAGGCAAAGGAGGGAGGCAGGTACAAGGGAGGGGTTGGTACATAGCAGGCACCAAATACTAGGGGGATGCTTGTCCAGGCTGGAGCTGTCCCCCGCTCCACATCACTCCACCCCCGTAGGTATCACTGGAGCGTGAGGCAGCCTTAAGAAATTTGCCCTCAGCCATCCTCTCACCTGCCCCATGAAGGCTTTGGGGGCACCAGGCAAGGAGGTTAGCCTGGCACCGACACCCTGGGGGATTGGGATGCATCAACCCTGGCTTCAGCACTTTTCCATCCACTGGTAAGATGAGGGTGCTCGTCTGAGCTTTTTAGCATCCCTCAGAAAGTACAAAGCAAGAAAAAAAAAGGTTGAGAGTTGGTGGTCTCAGTGAAGGTAACTGAGAAGTCCCATGTTCAGCACACATGTATGACACCATCTGGAAAACGCCTAACCCCCGAGTGCTGGCACCAGAGCTCCCTTCTTGCTCAGGTGAGCCCCTCCCACCCCCCATGGCCATGTGGCTCCATCTACACCAAGAGCTGGGCAGGTCAGTCAGGGGCCTTGCTCTCAGGGGTTTAGCAAGGATGAGGGAGGGAGTTGCCCAGGGATGGAAAGGCCACTTGCATAAATGCCACACCCAGCAGAAACATGGGTGCGGGGTCCTCCTGCCACAAGGTGGGATCTTAGCAGGGAAGACGGGCCAATTTTTCACAAGAGATGCCTGAACCCAGCTCAGAATACATCCCCAACAAGCCTTCCTAATCTGACAGCTGGACTGGAAAGGGCTGGAGGAGAGGTTGGAATCCCCCACACCCTAACACCTGAGCCCAGCAGCTGACTGGGGCCCAGTGAACACAGGCTGAGCAGGGGAGCTGGGTGAGCAGCTTACTAGAGAGGCTTCAGGTGAGCGGTCAAAGACAGCACAGGTCTGAAAAGAGGAACAGATACTCCTGTGAGGCGCCAACTGGGTTGGCGTTGGATTTCTGGCGAGTTCCAGTCACTCCTTCCTGTAGTCAGCAGTCCCCGTGAGTGTCCTTTGTCTGGAATCAGGCACACCCACTAACTCGCCCCGCCCCGCCCAAATCTCTTTTCTTCTTTTGGTGGTTCCAATGATAAACCCCAAGAACTGTAACATATTTTGATAATTTCCAAATGAGATCATGGTACAGGGGACTTTTTCCTTCACCAGTTCTAAATGGAAACCCAGATCACAAAAGAAAAACTTAGAGCCACTTTGCTGTGACAAGCGTGGCAGCCCACATCCTGTGTCCATTCAGGCCTCTGTGTGTCCTATTCCTCACCCTTCACACGGATCCAGGACCAACCTGAAGCCCAGGAGCACCAGCAGAAGGAGGGGGACTGAATTAGAAGCCCAGCTTCCCTCTGAACTCGGAATAATCCTCTCCCCTTTCTGCAAAATAAACAAGTTGGTTCTAGTAAGCTATAAAAATCCATTCTAGACCTAAAATTGTATCAGCTTTTGAAATTCCAAATAAAAATACATGATATAAACACCCCGTTTGAAACTGACTGTTGACTAATTAGGAATGTTACAAGGAATAAGACGTCCCCTTCATCCTTTCTGCTATTTTGCCTTCTCTAAGAGTGTAAGTCATTATTTTTGAGTTGATTAATGCACGGGTGACTTGCTTTTCTTTTAAGCCATGAACAATGTTTTGAACTAAAAAAATTATTTTGCAGAATTTTTGCAAATGTGAGAAAACATAATTTGTCTTCACCAAAAACCTAATATAAATTCATGATTAAATGTTCCTTCAAATGAATAGCCACAGAGCTTAAGTACAAAATATTAACCCTCCATTGTCCTCCACCTAAATTATATTAATATAATCCCACAGTTCAAATGCCATAATGTGTATCTAAATGAGAGTTCTGGCAAATTCTCCAACTTGAGTATAAAGAAGAAAATGCTAATTTAGGGCTCCTACTAGCTCCTCACAATGATTGGACGCAGTCATTCTCAGTTTGGTACTAGTTTGTTTGAGTTTTATTTTTACCAAGTCTGCAAAGAAAATTTCATCAATAAATATAAATAAAGCATTTCTAAGTACTTTTGTAATGGATTCTTTTTATTGTTGTTTTGTTAAATGTGAATGAAAGATCTTATATCCTATGATACTACTTTTTTGTGGTTAAGAAAGGCCGTATCTCAAGAGTCAATTTTCACCAAGTTCATGTGGCTTAGACAAAATCTCTCCCCACCCCACATTGATGACTGTGGCTTCCACATAGTGCTCACAGCCGACAAGGCAGGCTCATCCTTCATCTCCAGCCTACAGTGATTATGTTCCAGGCCCCAGGAATAAAATAAAGCGTTCCTGAATGAGGGGCACAAACTGACAGGATGCATTTCATTAAATTTTGTATACATAACTCAAGAAATTTTGACAGCCACATACCTCTGTCTCTTTTTAACTGACATCTGAAAATTTCCATCACTAGTTCAGCTGATTGCAACAGATATAAACTTTACTTGAAAGACTGAGTTGTAAATACTAATATTTTTAAAATAGATTTTATTTTAAAGATAGAATCAAAAGAATCTGGGTATAGTTGACTCTTCAAGTCTCACACCCTCCATGTGAAAGGGAGTGAACAATTCTTCCTTCACCAGGCAGAGCTGCAGGGCACAGCCCTTCAGTCGTGAACTTACTCCTGTTCTACCAACACAGTCTCATCCTAATTGAACATACATTATGTTTGAGAGTTTTTAATCAAGATTCTTCATAAAATATGTATATAAATTTAAATTGAATTTTTATTGCCTCTCACCAGAAGGCAGTAGTGTTAAACTTCTTGTCATTATGATAATAACCATAATATTCTGTATATAATGAGCTCCCGTGTATAACATGTACCCACGTTTTTTGGCCCAAACTTTTTAGTCAAATCTTTCTTTTTAATTTGTCAGGAGTCCAATGGACACTAACCTGGGATGGTGGTCAACAGAGAGATGGCCCTGGAAAAAAATAAGAGGCTTCACACCAATCCTTTAGCATGAAGCCACAAAGTCCACAAAGAATTCAGCCTGCCTGCCTCCCACAGCAACTGTTTAATTCAAATTCTTATTTGTTCATGTAGATACTTGT